GGTCTCTAGAGTAGTTCCTCTGGTCTACAAGGTCAAGGGCAAGCAGGGGGGGGGGAGGGGCAGAGGGGGAGAGAGAATCCTGAAGCAGACTCCCCACTGAGCATGAAGTCCAATGTGGGTGGTTCTCAGGACCCTGAGATCACGACCTGAGCTGGTATCAAGAGCCACCCAGGGGCGCCTGGGTGGCTCAGTTGGTTAAGCGACTGCCTTCGGCTCAGGTCATGATCCTGGAGTCCCGGGATCGAGTCCCGCATCGGGCTCCCTGCTCAGCAGGGAGTCTGCTTCTCCCTCTGACCCTCCTCCCTCTCATGCTCTCTGTCTCTCATTCACTCTGTCTCAAATAAATAAATAAAACCTTTAAAAAAAAAAAAAAAAAAAGAGCCAGCCAGTTAACCAACTGAGCCACCCTGGCGCCCCTAGGCTGTTAATTTTTGTTCATTTCCCTAGGGAGGACAAACACTATTCCAATGGGAGTGGGTGATAGAGAGCAGCCTCTAAAGGATTACTGAATCAATATTCAGAACCTAGGATACACTTAACACCAGATTCAACACAAGTTCACCTCTTCAAGTTTTCTACTATATTCTTTTGCAAGAGGACCCTCCTGAGAGTTCTCCCCTGGAAGGGAAGTGCCTCACTACTCGAATAATCTAAATGATAGCATCTGTCACCTAGTTTCAGGTTTCTCTGGCCCTCCAAAAGGGATTCTGGCAAATTCCATATCACTTTCCACTTCTCCTTCCTAATGATAATCCTACAAAGTCCTCTTTTGGTCAACTTTCATGAATAAACCCTATCCCAGTAGAGGTGACTTAGGTCAGGAAGCCTATAAACTCATCTATGACAAGGAACTCTAGACCTGTTCACTTTTTGCCCAGGTGAGTTTACTTGACCTAAGTCCAGCGCATAGGATGCTCTGTAAAACAGTGCTTTATTAGGCTATGCTAAGTCACCAAAAAGGGCCAATCAATGCAGCATTTTTTTTAGACCTAGAAGTCGCTGGCAATACATAAGAGTCTTCTCTTGGAATGTTGATCAGTTAGAGAGCCTGAGAAGTAAGGCCATATACTCCTCCTGAGAAGTTTAAAATATGGACACAAATGGGATTTAAAATACCCTCCCTTATTCTTGGTTGTAAGCCTTTTATCTCTCAAACTAATGAGAAGAAAGGTAAGCAAAGAATGTCTAATCTTACCTTTATATTCTTACCAGGATTGCTGTTGAATTGCCAAGTCTATGAGACATATATTTTTCTTCCTGCTTTCAACTGATTTACTGACAAACTGTTGTTTAATATTTACATTAGCCTTTCCTAACAGGAACCAAAATATATAGTCTTCCCTGCCCCCCCCTTTAATCATTATTAGTTCTAATAATTCCAAAGCAGAACTAATCATTTAGGAGACCTGAACATTAGAACTGGTGGAAATATTGCTTCCTGGTGGTGCATACGCCTAAAACATAGTAACATAAATAGGAAGTTCTCAATATTCTGATAGTTCTGAATGATAACATATGGGAAATAACTTCTCTTTCTATTCCAGAAAATTGCCCTATAGATTTTACCAATCATTTCCTCAATAGTGTGGCCTAGAAAACCAGTTTCAAGGTAAGTTTTATGAGGGGAAAAAAGTTTGGAACACACTATACTTAAGATTCAGGATACACAGCATATTAATAGCTCTTAAGACACTTTTTAATCCAAAGTTCATGAAAAATTTTTGACTTTTGGAACTTTTTGTATAACATATTAACATCCTATGGAACTATTCTTCCAAGGACCATATTTTGGGAAACATGAACTATTATTTCCCAGCCTGCTGTGACTGACTTTAACCAAACCAGGCCTTTTCTACACCAAACACTCATGGTTATTTCTCTCACATTTTAGGATTTCCTACAGCTGTCAGGTAGTCCCATTTAACTGAACTAAGGCAAGGCGACTAAGCAATATGGACTGAGTAGCTTTCGAATTCTGCTGGGGTCTAGCTAATCCTCTGGTATTGGGTATATCAAGGTTAGATTTTGCCTCGACTGTAAAATTGGTTATAAAAAATATAATTGGATCAGCTTTACAAATGTATAATGACATTATAGATCTAAAAGTGTTATAACTAATGAGAAATTTAGTTTAAGATATTTTGTTATTATGAAAGTAAAAATCGACTGTTTTCACTGCAAAAGCATTAAAACATTAACAAAAAGCTTTATTCACAATTATACCACTATAAATATTTTCACTTGTCTTTCAAACAGGCAAAATGCTGGGCTTTAAAAATAGCACAGATACAATTTTATATTTTTCACTTCTATATTTCATAGTGGCACAGTTTTCACAATTATAATTGATTTAAATAATTAGAATCATTTTAGCTATTTTGTTTTAGTGAGCATGTTTTGAGTTCTTTAAAGGGCACTCAAACAAACTGCATGCAAAAAATAAATTGCATTTAGAATTACTGACTACTAAAATTCAGTAAGATAATGAAGTCAGCTTTTAATTTCTTCATTTCAGATTTATTTTAAAGTTGGAAAATCATTTTCAGAAACATTTTCTTGATTATAATAAGAAACAGAATTTCAAAAAATTCACATATAAACTCATATTTCATATACTTTAAAAAACGATACAGTGTATCACAGTTTTTAAATGCCTGGGCTCTGGAGTCAGACTACCTAGATTAAGAGCTTAATTCTACCAATTATCAAGTTTTATGACCTTGGGTAAATTACTTAACTTGTCTGAGCCTGTTTCTTTTTCTGGAAAATGAAGATGAAAACAGATTAATCTCATAGGCAAATTAAGAAGGTTGAATGATAAAACATGTAAAGCACTTGTCTGGCATATGGTGGTAAATAATACTAAGAACAACAACAACACATACAAAGAAACTCTCTGTGTGGGGATATTATATACATATTATACATTCTTTTTTATAATTACTGTTTGTGAGTAATCATTCAGCAAGTGTTTACTGAGTATATTTCACATACTAGGCACTGTGCTAAACACTGAGGATACAGAGACCACAAGACAGTCTTTACTTCCAAAAGCTTATTTTTGGAGAAGAAAACAAATTAATCTGGTGATTAGCATACTATGTGGTAAGAGCTTTAATAGGAACACAGAGCATTTTACAGGGTGCATGAAAGCAGAGGCCCATAACTGAGAAGGTAAGGCAGATTGGTTGAACTTGTACGTATGTATGCGTGTATATTCTTCTTTGTCTTTCTCTGGTATAGAGGCTACGAAACAAAAAGGTCCTCCATATTCTAGTTTCCCTTACAGCTAGGAGTCCCAAGTGACATTACTCTGGAGACTGAAGGTCCTGAAGTGGGTTTTCAGAATGGAAGCAAGTATCCTAAACTAAAGACAGAGCTTCTCCAGAAGAAAGCCCTTTTGCCCTTCCTCCCTTCTTCCTGCCTCACCATTTGGACAAAGGCACGTAAGTGCAGTAGCCATCAATGATGTGAGTGGACAAAAGTCAATACAGCCAAACAGAAAAGAGCCCAGGACTCCAGTGGCATTGTTGAGTTACTGCACCACTCTAGAACACCTAACACAAACTCTTTTTTCTGTAAGCTACCCATAGTTCAGTTTTCTGTTATCTGCTGTTATCTGTTATCTGAATGCACTGCTCTAGATAAACAAAACTTTCTGAAAAGGTTTCTGAGCTGAGTCCAAAAAAAAGAATAGGAGTGATCCAAGTGAAAATTTTGAGAAGGGCACAGCCAGGAAACAGCATCTACAAAGGCCCGGGGGAGGAGGGAGTATGGAGTGTCGATATCGGCATCTGTTCTACAATATGCACCTTCTGGCTTCTCGGATGGCTTTAGCCGAGATTCCCAACCTTTTCCATCCTCCATTCATTATGTTTCAGGGATTCAATATTCTCCCCTCAGTGGTCCCATATGGGGAGCATTCATTCTTAAATGGTATGTTCTGTGATGATGAACATAAAATGTGTCTTTGACTGTTTAGACTTCCAGAAACAAATTTATGGTGATTTGAGTCAATTACAACTACGTTATCAATTTACACATGTAACACCTTCAATTAAAGCTGCCATGTGTGGTTCCTATGTGCCAGGCACTGTATTTACACTAATTATCTCACTTAATATTCACAACAACTCAGTGGGTTAGGTACTATGATTATGTCCTTCTTTAGAGAAGTGAATTAGGTAAATAATGTCCAAAATCAAACAGTAATGGTAATACTGGCTGGGGCAAGGATTCAAAGTCAGGTCTCTTTCATTCTATAGCCTCAGCTCTGAGCCATTCTGCTATACTGCTAATCAGTTTCCTTAGTTTCTGGCCTCTTGGTTCCACTTCACTTGCTTAAATCCTTCCTGCATCTATGCAGTAAGGTTTTCAGTTCCCCATCTGTACTCTCTGGATTAGAGTGGTGGTGGTTCAGGCTGGTTATCTCCTAACAGGAGAGAATGGAAGGAAGAAATATATGTAAGCAGAGTAGAACAAGGGAAAAGGGGAGAATGCCAGGAAAAAAAAAAAAAAAAAAACCTCAACACTACATCAAAAACTAATGATGTACTATACAGTGGCTAACTGAACATAATAAAAATAAATAAGTAAATAAATAAAAAGGAAACAGACTGAGGGTTTGCTGGAGGGGAGGTGGGTGGGGGGAATGGGGTAACTGGGTGATGGGCATTAAGGAGGGCACTTGATGTAATGAGCACTGGGTGTTGTATGTAACTGATGAATCACTAAATTCTACCCCTGAAACTAATAAACACAGTATATGTTCACTAAATTGAATTTAAATAAAAAATTAAGAAAAAAGAAAGAATGAAATGTTCTTTTCCTCTCAAGAATGAAACAAGTTTCTGTTCTTACTGCCAAACTGTGAAGTAATTCCAAAAAATAAATTCAAATAATTAAGCAAGTATGGGTCTCTAAAAGGCCTAAATTGAAGGTGGCAACACTTCTTTATATTTTAAATCTCAATGTTTAATAATTGATTAGTTTATACTCACACACTTAACAAATATATAGTGATCATCCTCATGTACCTTTGAATCATATTCCAATGAATAGGTTCTTATACTGAAGAGGCTAAGAACAAATAAAAAACGCTTATTATAATGATCATAGATGTGACTACATAATACCAAGAAAGGTAATTAAGCACAGGTTAATATGGGACAGAAGATGTATCAAACTCAGACCTGAGAAATCAAAGATGCCACTCCAGAGGGGGTGATATCTAAGATGAATCTTAAAATATAAGCAGGTATAGCCAATATAAAGAAAAAGAAAAAACAAAAAAAGAAGAGATCATCTAGCTAGACCAGTGTTTCTCAACTTCAACACTACTGACAATTTTGGGATAATAAGACTTATGAGGTGATGCCCTGTATTTTCTAGAATGTTTAAACAGCTTTGTCTTCTACCTACTTGATGCTGATCACACACCCTGTGTGTGAAAATCAAAAATGTCTCCAGATATTGTCAAATATCCCATAGGGGGCAGAAATGCCTCTGGTTGAGAACCACTACTCCAGACCTGCATTGTGCAAATTGGTTGCCACTGGCCACATGTGGCTATTTAACTTGAAACTAATTAAAATGGAATAAAGGTTCAGTTCCTCAGTCACATTAGCTACATTTTAAGTGTTTGACTAGCCATGTTTTAATGGACAGCGCTAGAGAGAATATATTTCTTCTCTTATTTCACAACTATTCACTATAGCTTAATGATAGCCTGTGGGTGGAATGAAGAATCATAAGATTAAACAAGGGTAAGGCCAGAGTATGAGAGGTCTCCCATACCATAAGATAGAATAATGGGGAGTCAGTGAGAGGTTTTAAGCAAGGGTGTAAAATAAACAGATGCATGTTTTATTAAAGCTGATTTAAAAAAAAAAAGATTTTATTTATTCTTTTAAGAGAGAGAGTGAGAGCAAGAGTGTGCACGAGAGGTGGGGAGAGGCAGAGGGAGAGGGAGAAGCAGACTCCCCGCTGAGCAGGGAGCCCAACGCAGGGCTCAATCCCATGACCCAGAACTCATGACCTGAGCTGAAGGCAGACACTTAACCATCTGAGCCACCCAGGAGCTCCTTTATAAAGCTGATTATATAATGGTGCTGTGGAGAATGGAATGAAAGTGGAGAGTCTAGCAGCGAAGGAATAGCTGCAGTATTTCCAACAAGTATGGTGATCTGGATTAATGCAGTAGCAGTAGGGATGGACAAAAAACGAAGCAATTAAGGAGGCAGAACTGATAGGCAGAACTGTGGTGATTGACTAGATATGAGGTAGCTGAGGAAAAGAATGAAGTCAAGAATGACTACCAGGTTTTTAAGATGGATGAGTGAGTACATCCACTAAGACAGTATGGTAGAAATAATAATCGTCCTCCAAGGTGTTCATGTCCTAATCCTCTAATCCCTGGAACCTGTAAATATGCTACCTTCCATGGCAAAAGGGACTTTGCAGATGTGATTAAGGACCTTGAGATGGAGAGATTATCCTGGATTATCCAGTAGGCCCAATGTAATCACAAGTGTCCAGATAAGACGGAGGCTGAGGGAGCTTTGAATACAAAAAAAGAGATGTGTCAGAGTAACACAGTGGAAGATAGACTTGAGCAGCCATTGCTGGCTTAGAAGAGACAGCCATTAAAAGCCAGTAAAGGCAAGGTAACAGATGCCCCCCTACAGAGATCAGTGTTTGAGAAGGCAAAGTACCAAAAGGAAGATATGAAATATCTTTAAAATCTACACAAATCATTATGTAGACTTGGAATCTACTGCTGAATATTAAATTGTATAAGTACAGAAAAATTCCATGAGGCTGGGCAAAGAACTACCAGGGAACTATACCTGGCTGTGATGTGTTCAAATTCTTATCAGACAGAATTGAGAGAGCTCAGTGAATACCCAAGGAATGCAGTATAGTCACTAGAGAAGTCATATTTTAGTATAAAAGCTAAATTCTAAAGTAAATGACATTCTAGACTTGTCCCAGCAAAGCTTAAACACAGCAAAGGATCAAACTATCTTATAAGTAATTTAGCTGCTGGCCAAAAAAAGTTGTAATACACTTTAAAGGAAGAGAACAAAATCCAGACACTATAAACAAACAAATGAATAAATAAATACTAAATTAAAAATAACTAGATATTCAAAGAAGCAGAAAACCATGACCCGTAAATAACAATGAAAATAATCAGTAAACAGAACAAACTTAGAGATAATATAATTAGCAAAGACTTTAAAACAAGTATTATAAATATGCCCAAAGATTTAATAAGAGAAATGGACAACAAAACAAAACAAAACACCCAAGTGGAATTTCTAGACCTGAAAAATTCAGGCTCTAAAACAGATAATTCACTCAATGGGATTTACAGCAGATTAGATACAATCAATGGAAAATATTAGGAAATGTGATAATAAAGAAGCATAACCTACCCAAAATGAAGCAAAAAGAGAAAAAAATAACTAAGTATAGCCTTAGTGACCTACTTTGAGTCCCAGGATGTCAATGAAGAAGAATATTTAAATGGCTAGGAATTTTTTTGAAAATTGGTGAAAAATATAAACTCACAGGTTTGAGGAGCTCAATGAACCTTCTTGCCACAAGAAACAAAGAAAATCATACTAAGGCTATTATAACAGCACTGCTGAAAACCACTAATAAATAATCTTACAAGAAGTCAAAGGAAGGGAAAAAAAAAAGGAATGTATTAGGGGAGTGGGAGAGTGGGAGAGACAGAAGCAGACTCCCCACTGAGCAGGGAGGCTGACGTGGGGCTCAATCCCCTGAGATCATGACCTGAGCCAAAAGCAGATGCTTAACCAACTGAGCCACAAGGTGCCCCCACAATAAACAAGTTTTGATAAATACTCAACTATCTGGAAATTGATCAAGATATATCTAAGTGTTCCATGGGTACAAGAATAAATCAGAATGGAAAATAGAAAAAAAATTAATTGAATGATAATGAAAACACTACATAAAAATTTATGGAATGCAGCTAAACCAGTGTGTAGAGGACAATTTATAGCATTAAAAATGTTTACCATAGGAAAGAAAAAAAAGCTTCAGGTTTCCATATTAAGGAGCTAGAAAAAGAAGAATAAATTAAAATCAAGGTAAGCAGAGGGAAAGAAATAATACTAACTAGAAGAGAAACAAAATGGAAAACTGATAAACAAGAGAGAAAAATCAACGAAGCCAAAACTCGATTCATATGAAAAGATCAATAAAATGACTAAACCTCTAGCTAAACTGATCAAGTAAAAAGAAGATACAAAGGGCCCTTATCAAGAATCAGAGATAACTGCTACAGATTCTAGAGACAATAAAGGTGAATAAGGGAATATTATGAGCAATGCACACCAATCTACTATATTCAGTAATATAGTAGAAAATGAACAAATTCCTTCAAAGACTAAAATACTAAAACTGTATCAAGAAGAAACAGAATAGCCCTGTAATAATGAAAGAAACTAAGTTTGTAACTAAAACCTTTCCCAGTTTTACTGGTAAAATCTATGAAACACTTAAAGAAATAATATTAATTTTAAATAAATTCCTTCAGAAAAAAGAGAAAAGCATTTCCAAACTCATTGTATGAAATCAACATTACCCAGGGGTGCCTGGGTGGCTCAGTTGGTTAAGCGACTGCCTTCAGCTCAGGTCATGATCCTGGAGTCCCGGGATCGAGTCCCGCATCGGGCTACTTGCTCGGCAGGGAGTCTGCTTCTCCCTCTGACCCTCCGCCTCTCATGCTCTCTCATTCTCACTCTCAAATAAATAAATAAATAAAATCTTTAAAAAAAACAAAAAAAAGAAATCAACATTACCCAGATACCAAAAAACAGAAAAAGGTTTTACAAGAAAAAAGGCACATCGAAAGCCATAATTAACATAGACAATAGTCTTTAACAAATAGCAAATCCAATGTAGCAATATATAAAAGTATCATGTAACACATAAAGTATAAAGCATCATGTAGAATTTATCACAGAAATGCAAGGATTGTTTTCACTTGGGAAAATCAATTCATCATGTTAACAGAATAAAGAAGTATCATGTGACTATTTTGATGAGTGCAAAAAAATCATTTGATAAAATACAACATGTATCTAATAAAAACCTCTTAGGAAAATAGGAACAGAAGGGAACATTCTGGTTTTTTTTTTTTTAAGATTTTATTTATTTGAGAGAGAGAATGAGATAGAGAGAGAGAGCATGAGACGGGGGAGGGTCAGAGGGAGAAGCAGACTCCCTGCCGAGCACGGAGCCCGATGCGGGACTCGATCTCGGGACTCCAGGATCATGACCCGAGCCGAAGGCAGTTGCTTAACCAACTGAGCCACCCAGGCGCCCCGACATTCTCAGTTTGAAAAGAGCATCCATGAAAAAGGTAATGTTAACATCACATTATAAAGTGAATGAATGAATGGTTTTTCTCTAAGATTGGGAACAAGGAAAGGGAATCCACTCTCACCATTTCTATTCAACATTGTCCTGGAGATCGTAGCAGTAAATAAGATGAGTAAAATAAATAAGCAGACGTTCAAAATGAAATGGAATCAAACTTTCCTTTATTTATGAACACTCTGATTCAGTATCAGGTAGAAAAATCCAAAGGACTCTACATATAAGCTTCTAGATAAAATATGTAAATTTAATATGTTTGCAGACTGCAAGGTCAATACAAGTATTAGCAATAAAACACCGTATAACAAATATTTTAAAATGCCATTCATGATAGCATCCAAAGTGTTAAAATATTTAGGACTAATTTAAGCAAAATATATATATATAAAACCTATACACAGAAAACTACAAAACACTGTTGAGAAAAATTATGAAAGACCCAACTAATATGGAGATATACCATGCTCATGGATTAAAAGATCTGTCATTAAGATGTCAACCAACCCCAAATTATCTATAAATCACTGTAATCCCAATAAAAAAATCCCAGTAGACTTGTGGTTTTTTGGGGTTTTTTTTTTTTTTAGAAATTCACAGATTTATTCTAAAATCTGTATGGAAATGCTAAAATTAATTTGAACCACTATATGACCTGATATCAAGACTTTCCACAAAGCTACCATAAACAAGACAGTGTGTGACATCATAAGGAGAGATAAAACAATTAATGGGAAAAAAGTGTATAGGAAAAGACACACACATTACAATTGGGAAAGGGTAGGCTTTTTAGTAAATGGTGCTGGGACAACTGGATTATCCAATCAAATGGTAAAAGATAAACACTGCAGTTCACCTCAGACAAAACACAAATTTAAATCAAAATGATTAACAGACCTAATAGAAAAAGCTAAAATCATAAAATTTTTACAAGAAAACATATGATAAAATCTTTTTGAGAAGGTTGAGATATCTAGAAAAGTTGAAATGAATAGGTCAGCAAATCCTCCCGTTGAAATAACTATATAATGGTATAAAATGGCCAAAAAGACCTATTTTAGGGCTTTGGAAACTAATGGCAAATGGCATGTTAAGAAATGTTTGGTCATTAAAAACTGAACTTTAGGGTGGGGTGGCAGGGATGGGGTGACTGGGTGATAGACACTGGGGAGGGTATGTGCTCTGGTAAGTGCTGTGAATTGTGCAAGACTGTTGAATCTCAGATCTGTACCTCTGAAACAAATAATGCAATATATGTTAAGAAAAAAAAAAGAAGAAGAAGGTAGCGAGAGGGGAAGAATGAAGCGGGGGAAATCAGAGGGGTAGACGAACCATGAGAGACGATGGACTCTGAAAAACAAACTGAGGGTTCTAGAGGGGAGGGGGGTGGGAGGATGGGTTAGCCTGCTGGTGGGTATTGAGGAGGGCACATTCTGCATGGAGCACTGGGTGTTATGCACAAACAATGAATCATGGAACACTACATCTAAAACTAATGATGTAATGTATGGGGATTAACATAAGAATAAAAAAAAATTTATACTTAAAAAAAAAAACAAAACTGAACTTTAGGTATTAACTGTTGAAAGTCTGTGTCACTCTTGCCAGGGGCTCTCCTATGACCTATCCCACATGGTGTGGACAGTAGTACTGCCAGGATGAGGCTGCCTGTGTTTAAATACACAGGAAAACATGATGACAATGAATCAAATATAGAGAACCTTAATAAAGACAAAGAAACTAGAACACAGGGAAAGATAATCACAGAAAAACCGAACAAAGCGTCAGAGACTGGAGGGATAACAATCATTTCAACATATATGTAATGGAAGCTTTGGAAGGAGAGGGGAATCCAAGGGACAGAAAAATATTTGAAGAAATAATGGCTAAAAACTTCCCCAATCAGAATAATCTACACATGTGAGCTCAGCAAATCCCAAGTAGGATAAACACAAAGTGATCCATACCTACACATATAATAGTCAAAGTGTTGAAAGCAAGAGTAAGTGGGTGAGCAAATAAGCAAGTGAATGAATTTCAACAAATCTTGATTATCAACTAGAGAAAAACAACTCATCATACACATGAAAACATGATAAATCAGAAACAATGAAGGCTAAGGGCAGCAGAATGACATACTCAAAGAGATGAAAGAAAAAAATCTCTTGATCAAAAGTTGTATTTCCAGCAAAACTATCCTTCAAAACTGAAGGCAAATAAAGACATTCACAGATAAAGACCAAGAGAATTCATTACAAGCAAACCTGTTTTACAAGAAATAAATACTAAAGGAAATCTTTTAGACCAAAAAGGAATTATCCTTGATTCCTTTTTGTTTCTCCCTGCACATTCAATGCATCAACAAGCAGGGCCTATTCGCTTTATACCCAAAATAAGCCTTGAATCCATCTACTTTTTTCCATCTTCCACTGCCATCACATAAGCAAGAGCCTTGAATTTTCATTTGGACTTCTGCATACCCTAAATGGTTTTCCTGCTTACACTCACCCCCTGAGAGCAGCCCATTTCCCAACAACAACCAGGATGTTTAAAAACAACTGGATCATACTATTTTTAAAACCTTTTAATTGGCTCTCCATACACTTAGAAGGAAATCCATACTATTTGCCATGGCTAAATAAACCTTACAAAAATTTCTCCCTACCTGAACTTCCCTCATATCATTCTCTCCTTCTATAAGTTCCAGGACGCTGCATTCTTTGTATTCTATAAATATCCCCAACTCATTCCTGCTTCTGAATCTTTGTACTTACTCTTCCCTCTGCCTAGTACGTGTCACCAGCAAATCATCACACAAGGCTGGGTTCTTATTATTCAAGTCTCCCTTCAAATGCCATTTTCTCAAAGGGGATTTTGCTAATCATCCAACCTACCCACCATCACTTGCCTGCTTTACCTTTCAAAAATTTTATAATAGCACTTATCACTACCTAAAGTTATAATGCTCATTTATTTGACTATTCATGTAATATGTACCTTACTCAATAAATTGTAAAGTGCATGAGGATAGAAATCTTACTATCTTATTCATCAAATATACATAACTTTAGACCTTATGCTAAAATATAAACAATTCTGAACTTGAAAAATTTAAAAGCCTTTTTCTTATTTAATATTTAATAAATATCCTATCTTAAAAATTATACTAGTCTTCTGCCTCAAAAGATGAATTATCCTCCAACACTATCTCGGGTATTGAAAAGAAAGCAATATGCAGTAACTACTGAGTGATAAACAACAAGATTCTTGAGAACTGGGACATCTAGGAAATCATCTGGGGATTGGGGTCAAAGTCACCCCTTCATCCCCAATTACTACCTTCCTAGGTCTTAATAGCACTCTTGAATACATTTTAACAACACACTGAATTTCTTGAAGGCAAGAGAGTATGTCCTTTTTATTCTGTATCCCTTATATCTAGCACTGGCAGACAGAAGGTGTTCAATAATTATTTTTCTGAAGTAAATGAAACAGCATGTTTCTTTGTAAAAGGAAGGTAACAAGACTGTGAGACCAATTAAAAAAAAGAAGAAGGAAGGGTAAGTGAAAGAAAAAGGTAAAAACATCCCCACAAAATCCTTATTCTGAACTATTAGGTTAGAAAAGCACAGGATAACTGATCAATTGACACTTCTCCTATGAACTACTCTTGATTATTCACATACCTAGAAGCTAATAATACCATAACATAGCAATAATTTCATAAGCTAATAACATATTACATACTATTTCAGCACCAGACACTAAAGATCCTCCCTCCCCCACAAAAAAGTTAGCCTATAAGGAAGACCTAAACCTGAATAATAAAGTTCTGATGTCACAAACTACTAAAGAGAGGACTAACTCTAAGAACACTTTGGGGAATCTAACAGTGCAGAGTCACTAAATGATCTAGAGCCTAGGAGTATTCCATTGGTAGAGATTTCGTGAAAGAAGTCACTACTATTCCAGTAGCCCCAGTAGCCTCATGCTTCTACCCTCACATGTTCAAGAGAAGAGCTAAGGAACTATAAATAAAATCTAAATTTAAAATATTATTGTGGTTTTAACTCCTGAAGGCCAGCAAACCAAACATGAAAAATATACCAACAAAAACTAATCCATGAAGCATTTTAAAAAGCTCTCATTTAAATACATTTTTAAGAGTTCTATTAAGTACAACATAAATTAGAACTATTATTGTGGCTTTAATTTCTAAATTGTAGCAACCTAAAAATGAAAAATATGCTATCAATAAAACTAACCCATCAAACATCTTAAATCTTTTCTTTAAACAAATTCTAACAGAGTTATTAGAACAGAAAAATAAACAACTTTATTAAATGCGTAAGTGATCTTTAGAAAATGCCAGTAAGTTTCAAAAACATGCAATAACCTCAGACTGTGATTTCATTATTGATGAGATATAGGAAAGTATCCAGATAGCTTATAGCTAGTTCACCCCTAGGGTTGTAATTCAAATATCAAATTTTATTCTCTAAAAATGAGATATTTAAAATAAATATTTACTCAAGAATAATATATTTTATATAGTGGTAAAAGCCTTATTATACAAAAGAACTTTAAGATTAGTTATTTTACTTACCAAAATGCAGTCCACTTTAGATTGTACAGTTTTGCTAAAAGAAAAAGAAAGTTAGGTTAATAAAAATGATAAATTTATTAAATATTTGAAATAGTAAAATTCATTTTTAAGATTAGGATCATACCCTAAAACTGCATTTTTCACAAAGCAAAACAAACATCTATTTCCCATTCACTGTACTAAATTTAGTCCTAAAGCATGATCAGAATAACTGAGTTCACTGCTACAGTCAACCTATTGTTACACTGTATCATTTTAACAGATGTTTTGAATAAACAATTAAGTTTTTAAAGATACATAAAAATGCAGATATGTATTACTATACAAAGAAATAGGACACAGAGTTTATAATGAATTACAATTTTTACTGTATGCCTGCCACTCTGGAAAATGATTTGTTTAGCATTTAAAAGCCATACTGGTGTAGTATTATCTGTGGTTCTAAAGACTTGCTATAAAGTAGATTCTCTTCTCCCTCCCTCTCTCTCACATACGTATATGTGTGCATACACACCCACACAGGCTAGGGAAAGGAATCCCTAGACATAAAAGGAATAATAAAGATTAACTGATACGGTAATGTATTGGAAGGGGAGAATACATTTAGAAATAAATAACCCAAAAAAGCCACTATATATCAATTTACTGAGTAAGTGAATTACCGAATAAGTGAACTATTGATATATAATACAAATGAAGCCAGTATAAAATAATTTAACCATCATCTGGATTTTGTTATAACACATTAAAGTATAAATGCAACGAAATCATGTGTAAGTTCAGAGATAGTTTATGTCTTAAAAGATGCTACAAACCCAATTATCTTTCATAAAATGTTCTAGAGCCAAATAAATATTAAAAAATTCATTATTTGCCTCTATATATACCTATACAGTTAATCTATAAAGTAAAAATCAACATTTAAAACTCATTTGTATTGACTGTTAATATAATCAATAACCTCAAAACTTTTCATTTGTAATTAGATTTCAAATTTCACTTTTTAAAGAACAAAGTATAACTGGATTAAGTTCAACTGTAAAGATCAGAATGACTAAAAAGAATAAGAAAAGCAAATGATATCTCCACTTAAGAGGAAATGAAATCCCCTTCCCACAATCCCACAGAAGACTTTTTAGAGGTTTTTAAATCTTTTGGGATCGTTTGTATAGCTTGTAACTCATTAGCAGCTAAAGTGTGCTATTGTTTTCTCTTCTTAATAACTCCCACAGTTTCCCTAAGAGAGTTTTGTATTAAGAATTGCTCCTAGGGGCACCTGGGTGGCTCAGTCGGTTAAGCGACTGCCTTCGGCTCAGGTCATGATCCTGGAGTCCTGGGATCGAGTCCCGCATCGGGCTCCCTGCTCGGCAGGGAGTCTGCTTCTCCCTCTGACCCTCCCCCCTCTCATGTACTCCCTCTCTCTCATTCTCTCTCTCTCAAATAAAAATAAATAAAATCTTAAAAAAAAAAGAATTGCTCCTAAAAAGTAATGCATCAAGAATCCAACCACTATTCACCACCTTCTAAACTCCCACCATTTCCTGTCTAAAGTGTTACAGTAACCTAACCGGTCTCCCTCTTTCTATCCTTAAGAACCCCCTCCTCCCCAACCAACTCTGTGGGCTATTCTCAACAAAGTGGCCAGAGTGATTCTTTGTCCAAACCACATTAGTCCTTTGCTCCAGTCTTGATCATGGCCAACAAAGCCCTGCATGACCCAGCCTTCTGCTATCTATCTTTCCAATCTCATCTCTTATTATTTATCTGTTCCCCATTCATTCAGCTCCTGCCACATTAGCCTCAGTGCTACTTCTCAAGGCAGGAGTAAGGCCTTTGTACTGGCTGCTTCTGTCAGCCTCTAAGACTCTTCTCCCATAGAACTTATCTGTTCATTTTCTTCATGACTTTGCTAGATGTTATCTTTTACAGATAGTTCTTCCCTGACTTTCCCATATAAAATATTCTGCATCACTCTATCCTTCTTAATCTGCTTCGCTTTTCATTATTGCACTTGCCATCAGTCATTTTATATATTTTTTAGAGATTTTATTTATTTAGGAGAGACAGCGAGAGAGGAGAGAATGAGTGGGGGGCGGGGCAGAGGGAGACGCAGACTCCCTATTGAGCAGGGAGCTTGATGCGGGACTTGATCCCAGGACGCTGGGATCATGACCTGAGCCGAAGGCAGACACTTAACCGACTGAGCCACCCAGGCGCCCATTTTATATTTTTATGAATTTACTTGTTTACTGGCCATCTTCCTTGACTAGAATTTAAACTCCATGAAAGCAGGTTCTGTCTGTTTTGCTCACTGCTGTTATTATCATCTGGCACATGTTAGGTGTTCAATAAAATCTGTTAAATGAATAAAATGACAAAAACACATTCAGCCCCCCATATGAAGAAAACTCTTTGGAAAAACTGGGACCACTTTAAAAAGGGTTTTTAGAGAAACTAATATGAAATTGAAAATGTGATTATTTTTTTAAACCATAGCTCTAAATATACTTCTTTTCTATCAGAAACTTGCTGTGGAATATCTGAAGATGACTATGTCTTATCACAAACAAGTTGGTAAATCTAAAAAATATGTGTAAAAGACAGCCTTTGAAAGAATAAACTATAAAAGTAAAATGTAAGTGCTTCTAAGCTAGATATGAACTTTGGCAATCACTTGATCTAGCCTTTTATTTTTACTTCATACTTAACACAGGCATAATAGAAGGATATAGATTAAGTCCCCTTCGTTCTTCTGTCCAGTCTCATACCGTATCTCACTACCTTCCCAAAGATAACTATCATTAATTTGATGTCTAAGCTTCCCAGTTGATATTTCAATACTTGTATTAGATGTACAAGTCTATAAGTAACATATACTGCTGTTCCAAGAAGCTTTTAAATGTTTATATAAATGCCTTTACATTATATATATTCTGCAATTGTCTTTTTTCATTCAACATTATTTTTGAGATCTATACTTTGATGAGGTTCGTTCATTTTAACTGCTGAAAAGTGTTCCACTGGGTGAATATGTCAAATTTATTCATCTATTTCTTTTTTTTTATTATTCATCTATTTCTTTACTAAAAGCCAATTTTATACTTCCCAGTTTTTCTTACAAACAATGCTGCAATAAACTTTGTACATGTCTCCTGGTGCACACATGTGAAAATCTCTCAGTTATAAATTCAAAAGTTAATTTTCAGGGGCTCATGGATGTATCTTTTCAATTGCATAATATATTACCAAGTGCTTCTCCCAAGCAGTTTATATCCATTTACACTTCCATCAGCTATATGATAGCCTCTATTTTCCTATTACTTTGTATAAATATTTGCCATTTATACATGATATATAATACACATATTAAACACTATCTTAATGGATATAAATTTCTTAAATTTGTTATTTTTCCCAATTGCTAACAATACTTTTCACCTGTTTACTGGCCATACGGATTTTCTCCTCTGTAAACTGCGGGTTCATATTCTTTGCCCATTTTTAAGTGGAGCTGACTATTTCTTATTAAGTTGTAGCAGTTCTTTATACACTATGGACACGAATCCTGTTACATATACTTAACTCTGTTAATTATATATTTTAATGATATCTTACTAAAGTTTAAATTTTTGATTTAGTCCAATTTATTAATTTTTTTCCTTCATGATCTGTGTTTTTTATCTTAAGACATCCTATTTAGCTAAAGTTTTAAGGACATATTTCATTCAAGTTAGTTTTTTCAAGTTTGATCTTTATTCGAATTAGAATGTATGGTATGGAGGGGCGCCTGAGTGGCTCAGTCGGTTCAGCGTCTGCCTTCGGCTCAGGTCATGATCCCAGGGTCCTGGGATCGGGCCTCGCATCGGGCTCCCTGATCGGCTGGAAGCCTGCTTCTCCCTCTCCCACTCCCCCTGTTTGTGTCCCCTCTCTCGCTGTCTCTGTCAAATAAATAAAAAATCTTTAAAAAAAGAATGTATGGTATGGTGTGATACATATTTTCTTTCTGGTAGGCCAACTGCTCCCTATTTTATTATGCCAAGTTTTCATGTATGCTTGACTCTATTTTTGGCTTTTTTTCTGTTTTGTTATTAATCTATGTGTCTCTGAGCCACCACTCTAAATTTACCAGTGCTTTAAAAATTAGGTCTAGTTATTTGATTACATGACCTTCCTTGACCATTTTCAGAACAGTCTTGATAATTCTTAGGCCTTAAATAATCCAGGTGAGTTTTTTGGTTTTTCCAATTTCACAAAATTACTGCTAAGATTTATACTGAGCTGTACTGATGTTATAGATTGAAGTGGGGGAGTTGATTCATAATTTATTTTTGTCTGTCTTTAAAAATGTCTTATAATTTTCTCTTTTTAAAATTATGTTTTCTAATTGGCTCTTGCTAATGTACATGCTGATATTCACAAAAACTATTAGTTTTCTATGCTGCCCTTGTATCCAGCAACCTTCCTGAACTTATTAGTTCTAACAGTATATAGATTCTCTTGTAGGTAACAATTTCACTTACAATTAATGAAAATATTTTTCTTCCTTTTCTGTCTTTATGCCTTTTTCTCCTCCTTTCTTATCTAATTACTTTGGCTAAAATCTCTAGTCTAAGGATGAAGAATTGCAGTAATAGCAGACATCCTGTTCTGTTTTCAATTTTTATTTCAAAGTTTTAATATGATGTAATATTCCATTTAGTGGGCATTTTATAACTCCCTACAATATTCCTGAATATTCAATGTTTTTATTGACTCGATTAAAATAAAATAATGCTTTGTGCTCGCTTCGGCAGCACATATACTAAAATAAAATAATGCTTCAATATCCTGATGTCCTGCTTCAGATAATGACAAAGTAACTTCCCACATATAACAATGACACATTGTGGACAAAATATAAAAACAGGCATCAAAATTAGAGTGACCAAAAGCAGGCAGCAACTAGAGGGAAGCATCCTTAAAAGAAGGGAACTGCACTGGGTAGGATTTGTAGTTATAAGGCTATTGTCTGAGGGCACTTATCCACCCATGCAACAATGATCACTGAAGAATAAGGCAGAAATGTGCTGTCTTACCAGCTGAGGAGGCAGAGGACAATGTCTGGGATCGCCAGAGCCACTGTAACATGAAAGATGAAATCCCAGAAAGGAAGGTGCCACAAAATTTCTTTATAAATTATGCCCAAATGTTTGGATAACCTTCCTCTGGGAAAGACTCCAAGGCCTCCAGAAAAAAGCAACAGTTGGAAAAAGTGGAAAGATCTGAGTTGAGTCTCCTTGCTGCTGCCTTTTACAGGAGTAATAATGTTGGGAGTTTGAATCCAGGGATGTTACACTCTACCAGGACAAAAAAACCCAAAAAACCCCACAACACTCAGAGAAAAATAACTGAATCCAAAGCCTACAACAATATATCACCCACAATGCCCATTACACAAGCAAAATTTACCAGAAAGAAGAAACAGGAAAAAGATAAAAGTCAAGATAAAAAAGCAGCTTACAGAAACCAAATCCTGAATGATCCATATGTCAGAATTAGTAGACAAGGATTTCTAAGTATTATAAATACGTCCAAGTATTTAAAGGAAAATATGGTCATAAGAAATGTATACATGGCAGAGGAGAACCTCAGCTGAGAAACGGCAGTTATGAAAAAGAACCAAATGGAAATTCTAAAACTAAAAAGTACAATGTCTAAAATGAAAATTCATTGGATTACCTTAACAGGAGATCAGATACAGCAGAAAAAGGGTCACTAAACTGGAAAATAAATCAATACATCTTATTGAATCTAAAGGAGAAAGAAAAAGATGTTCAACATAATAAGCAGAGCTTCAGAGATCTGTAGTACATCAAGTGGTCTAACTATGTACAGTTGGAGAGGAGAGACAACGAGACAGAAAAATATCTGATAAATGACCAAAAATGTCCCCAAATTGTGTGAAAAACACGAACTTACATATCTAAGCTCATTAAATTCCAAGCAGGATTATTACGAAGAAAACCACACATGGGCACATCACAGTCAAAGAGATGAAAACACAAAGATGAAAAGCAAATTTTGAGGGCAACTGGAGTAAAGTTAATATTATATGCACAGAAGTACTAAAGCAATTCAAGTGATAAAAGAAAATCCTTTCAACAAAGGCTGATGGAATAACTGGATATATCTATAAACAAATGAACATAACTCATCCTACAGCTAATTTTGAGTTGGATCTTAAAATTAACTATAAAAATTTAAACTATAATGCCTACAAGAAATCACAGACTATTATGACCTGAAAATATACAAAGATGTCTTGGGATGCAATAGCCATTAAAGAAAAAAAATAAATTAGATTCTACCAAAATGAAAATCAACTGTATTCATCAAAAGACATCAATTAAAATAAACAAGCCACCAAACAAAAACAATATTTGCAAAACATATACCTAACAAAAGACTTATGGCTCAGAATATGTAATAAACTCCTACAAGTCAATAGTAAAGTCAATTAATAAGTAAGCAAACAACTGGAAATAGATAGTTCACACAAAAAAAGCAATATACAAATGTCCAAGAAGCAAATGAAAAGATGTTCAACATCATTAATCATCAAGGAAATGCAAATCAAAATCATAATGATATACTATTATATACTCACTAGGATGGCTAAAATTAAAAACAGAAAACACCAAGTTTGGAGCAACTGCAACTGTCATACATTTCTGTTGGAAATATGAAAGGTAAAACCACTTTGGAAAAATTCAGTTAAATATAAACCTATCTTTTATTGTGGCAATTCTACTCCTAGGTATTTATTTAAAAGAAATGAAACTGTGTATCCACAAAACAGGCTTGAACAAAAATGTTCATAGAATCTTTAGTCATAATAGCCCCAAACTGAAAACAATCCAAATGGAAGTCAATATAAGAATGGATATATTCACAGTACTCAGCAATTAAAAAAAAAAAACTTATGATACATAGAAACACATGGATGAATCTAGTAGATATTACAGTGAGCCAAAGACACCACCCAGAAAAGTTCACTCTATACAATTTATATGAAGTTCTAGCATAGACAAAATTAATCTATGGCAAAAGAAAAATTACAAAAAGTGTACATCTTGGGATGAGGATTGGGGTTGACTTGGAAGGAGCACGTATGAACTCTGTAATATACTGCCCCATTTCCCCTTTTCAGGAAAGAAGAACTTTGTCCTTCAGCTGCTAGTAGTGCTTCCAGCAGAAAGACTTCTGTTGTCAGCCCACTCTGGGGATAGTCTATGCTGAAGAAAACTTCACTCCCAAAGTCCTATCTCCTTCCAGGGACAAGCCAAAGTGGCTGATCAACATGGGGGTATAAAGGCCCAGCTCTTTGTTACAACTTGGGACAACTCTGATGGGTCATTCCAGCTTCAGAACTCTCTAGCACTGCACCTTAACTTTCCCTCTGCTTTCTTACATTCTTTCCACAGATGTGACTCTCAAGAGCATTCCCTAATGGTTCTTAAAATACAATTCTTGGACTAGCATCACCTGGGACTAGTTACAAATGCAGACATGTGGGCCCCACCCCACACCTACTGAATCAGAAAGCAGAAGTCCCAACCACCTGCAAAGAGCTTCCTAGCTTTCTGTGCCTCACTCTTAAATATACTCAGATAAGATAACAGAGCAATATATTCAGGAGATAAGAATAAAAGAGATAGGAGGTACTTACTCCTCTTGGCTTTCTCTCTGAGGCAATGAGTTAGTGGCTGGTGAACCTTTTAGCAAATCTTATTAACACTTTTTTTTTTTAAGATTTTATTTATTTATTTGACAGAGAGAGACACAGTGAGAGAGGGAACATAAGCAGGGGGAGTTGGGAGAGGGAGAAGAAGGCTTCCCGCTGAGCAGAGAGCCCAATGTGGGGCTCGATCCCAGGACCCTGTGATCATGACCTGAGCCGAAGGCAGACGCTTAATGACTGAGCCACCCAGGTGCCCCTGTTAACACCTTTTTGAACTCATTAAACTATAAGCCTCTAAGACTTTGATCAAAAATTAAAATTAAATATATAAAAATTAAAAAAAAATCATGAACTTATCAAACAAGAAATGGCATTATCTATGGATATATTTGGAATTAACTTATGATTACTTTTTTCAACATTACTCTGACTACTTAAGTTTAAGAAAATTTTCCAGCAGCAGGAAAATATACATAAAAATACATTCACTGGGGCGCCTGGGTGGCTCAGTCAGTTAAGCATCTGCCTTCACCTCAGGTCATGATTCCAGAGTCCTGGGATCGAGCCTGCATCGGGCTCCCTGCTCAGTGGGGAGCCTACTTCTCCCTCTCCCTCTGCTGCTCCCCCTGCTTGTACACTCTATCAAATAAATAAATAAAGTCTTTTAAAAAAGTACACTCACCACTCTAACAATGAACCACTGATGCACATTTGAGCATTTTAAAAAAAGATAGTATTTAACTTAATATTTCATTGTTTAAATATT